CTCAATCAGTTGAACCGTTCTTGAGATATGGTCCCGTCAAGACTCAGGTTGGTCGAAATGTAGGTTTTTAAGACTTTTCATAAAACATCCTTAAAAAACTGAGGGTTCAATATTTTTCAGAACGCCTTGCATCAGAATTCATAAAACTCTTCCCTCCACAACAATATCTTAAATTGAGCAAGATGTGACAACCCCGATTGAGCAGATACGATCGTGATTTGCGTTAAATGACTAATATGCGAAATTCAATTATAAGGCTTAAAATTGAAAAAGTACGTCTCTGCTATTTCTCTTAGGCAAGCTTATAAAAGCATAATATTTTGGATATATATCTAACTGGAGTAGGACCACTCACTCACTGGCAAAAGATTTTAGTGCTCGTAGATGTTCGTAGGTTCGAAAAACTGGTGTGCGTTGAGTAATCACTTTAATGTTCAACCATTTTGGGTGTCTGTGGATGTTCGTAGAATCAGCTCACCAAGCTTCATCTACTGATGGTATCAGTTCCCGATTTGGGGTGTTCGCGAGCAGTCATCCTATTCCACAATGTTGAACATTGCGGAACCAATTCCACCTCGAAATTACTTCCGTCCAAATCCGGGAACTCGATCATCATTCAACACAAGACTTCTAATCGATATTAATCGAATTCCTTCAATTCCTGGAATCCCAGGAATCGTTTCTCATTCCAGAATTGCTATGAATTCCTGAAAACTCCTTGCGATTCCGGAATTCCAGGAATTGCTTTCAATTCCAGAATTCTGTACCGGAATTACTAACTTATTCAAGAGATTGACCTTTGATTACGGTACTGTGCATGGGGGTCAGAGCAAGAAGTAATTCTAGTACGGAATTCCGGAATTCCTAGAAATTTGTTCCGATTTGGAAATTCCAGAAATTTCTTCCACTTCCGGAATTGGATGGAACCGTTAGGAATTGCTGAGAATTTCTTCCAACTCCGGAATTTCAGGAATTGCTTCCAACTTCGAAATTCCATGGGAGAATTTCTAACTTATTCAAGCGATTAGCCTTTGACCACACTACTGTGCATGAGGTGAGGGCAAGAAGTAATTCCGGCATGGAAATCGGAGAATTGATTTTAATTCTGGAATTCCTTCAGATTCCGGAATTCCAGGAATCGCTTTCAATTCCGAAATTGGATGGAATCGTTAGGAATTTCTAGGAATTCCTTCTGATTTCGGAAGGGTGTGAGTGTGAGTGTGGGTGGGTGTGGGTGTGGATGTGGGGTGTGGATGAGTGTGGGTGTGGTTGTTTTCTGTCCATCACGTACACCCCACACCCCACACCCACACCCCACACCCACACCCACACCCACGCCCACAGCCCACGCCCACACCCACACCCACACCCACACCCACACCCACACTACCCACACCCACACTCACACCCACACTCACACCCACACCCACACCCACACCCCACACCCCACACCCACACTACCTACACCCACACCCACACCCACCCACACCCACACTCCCTTGATTCAAATTGTTTTTTATAACGGAAAAGGGGCTAAATAGGTGGTAAAAATGTATAAAATCGTGCTCCGAGACCAATGTGTCTGGATACGGCTCAGGTGATCAATGGTTTTGAGCTTGGAAAATATATAGTTTTGTAGCTTTCAAAAAGGGCTATCGAATGGTAAAACTCGAACTCAATAGCCATTAACATCGATAAGTTATTATCAAAATGCTGATGCCACTATCTGTCATACATCCACAAGGCCCACCCAAGATTTTGACCGCGCTACATACAAGTAAGAGATCAATTTAAAATAACTTATCGAACCCAGTTTTGCGAGCTGAACACGAATCTGAAGTCAGTTTCTGTGATTTCTGAAGAAATTGTATGACTTCCTGGGCTAGCCTTAATAGTCAGTAGGCAGGGTAGACCACAGTGTGTCCCATACTAACTCAGCCCCCGAGTTTTTTTTTTAGGATAATTTTATATCAAAAGATTCGTCTCACTAAGATGTATGTCTGGTAAAAAAGAATTTTGGTACGGCATACATAGCTCGAGAAAGGCCCAAAATACCGCCATCTGGAGACAAGATCACATTTAGCGTTTTCCAGGGTTTTCGATCTACAGCAATTTTTTTAATCAATATATTAGTTACTAAAATAGATTAAATTGTAGCCCAAATATTTCTCTATCGAATGAGACGTCTCCGAGCTCAAACGACCAAACTGTTCTTTAGAAAATCTCAAAATACTGAGCACACCCTCCTATAGCAAGTTTTTGAGGGTTAAAATACACCGTTAAAACTTGTTTTAGCTGCCATTTTTCATGAGTATAACCAAATGCCTTGATATTTTGGATTTAACTATAGTTTAACTAGACCTATCATTTAAGAAAGTAAAATCAAAAAAAAATGTTTTATCCGACGCCTCCCGCAGAGAGTAGATTGGTCTTCTCGCGGACCCTCTCTTAAGTGCCATATTTCTTTTGTTGATGTAACATATGAGAATAAATTTTCTTAGAAACTTGATCATGGTTTTGGTTTGATACATCCCTACCGAAGACTCACGAGGGAGCATATTTAGGTGTTTAAGCCGTTTAGATTCCATCTTTTAGCGATAGATAGATCTTGATGAAGTATGAAAAACTCCAAAAGAATAAGTGCCTTTAGAGCTTCCGTCCAGAGGTATAGGCATTTTACTGGAATTTTAGCCTCAGGGATAGTATATACCAACGAATCGAATGATGGTATTTCGACTTGAGATTTTGCCCACAGACAGGTCTATTTGTGAATAAGATTCTCTGAAAATTTCAGCTCAAAAGAACGTTTCTTTCCCGAGATATAAAAGTCCCAAATATCACTTATATCCCACGAAGAATGCTAGAATTTTCCGTTTGTTTTAGACTTTTATATCTCGGAAAGGAAACATGCGTTTGAGCTGAAATTTTCAGAAAATCTTACTTACAAATAGACCTGTCTGTAGGCAAAATCTCAAGTTTAAATGCCATCATTCAATTTGTTGATATATATCATCCCTGAGGCTATAATTCGAGTAAAATGCCTACAAGTCTGGATAGAAGCCCTAAGGGCACTTATCTTTTTGGGGTTTTTATACCTGATCGAGGTCTATCTATCGCCAAAAGATGGGGTCTAAACGGCTTAAACACCTAAATATGTTCTCTTGTCAGTCACGAATTCAATCAACATCAATGCTCATTATAAAAAGAAAGAAATTAGTCAGATAAAAGTTTAATGGCGACCGAATGTAATAGTAATCATTTTTCTTTATCGTAAAACAATCAGAAGATTCATGACTACAACAGCATAGATATTATGGATGTTTTATGCGTTTGCTTCTTTAGATTGACAGATTGTCAACATTATTCTCAAAGAAAAAAATACCTACTTTTGACTTGGTATATTTCATCAATCTACGATTAAATTTTCGGAAATGGGCAACCTGACTTCCAAGTAAGCTTCCTTGGAATTAAGACACTGTAACGCTTTTACGGAGATTTTATATGAAAAAACTGCAGTATTAGTGTTCAATGGTGTGGAAAGAAGTGAAACATTTTGAGTTGATTTTCTGTACACCTATAAGTTATTGGAATGGTGTGAACAGTTGTTAGAATCTGAAACATCACTATTCGGGAATGAAGACAAAATTAGTATCTATACTTATTCGCTAAAAATGAAAAACATGGGAGTATTATGTTATAGCAAGCACTTCCTCATTTATTCATCCACAATCAGTTCATTTCATAGTGTAAAACTCATTGTTTCTAGTGTTACTTAATTTCAAACTAAACATGAATTCATCATGCACTACGTCAGTATTATCCTTAAATTTGATCAGTTTGTTAAACTCATGAAAAAACAGTTGACTGTATCGTTCCAATATTTCTGGACTGCTAATCAGAATATTCTTCTTTTAAGTACTTCAAGACATGAGCAGAGATATTGAAGTCTTTCTATAAACGACTTATTAAACATATAAGCATGGAGACTAAAGAGAGTTGAGCGAATTTCAGTGTTTCCTTTTCATGAATGCAACAACTAACATTTCCTGTTTACTCTCAGCCTCATCTTTGCTCTCAAGCATGCCTTTGGACTCTTGATACTTCACATTGAAATAAATAATGAGCAGTGAAATTAACTAGAACTAGAGAATATTATTTATCTTTGTAATAGGTATAGCAAAAGTCTTGCCGAAGTAATAAAATGGGACAGCAATTCAGCATTGAATGTCGACAAATCTTCAAATACTAAAGAAAAGATACATGTACCGCGCAATTTACAATTCGCTGTTCTTGATAAATCAACAGACGACTATTTGTATTTACTTGAAGAATTTTGTCGAGAAACGGATTGTAACGTGAAGTCTTGGACAGCATACGAAGAACCTGAAGATCTGAAGGATTTTCTTTCTAAAATTGTCTTACCACAGAAGATTATTGTTATCACTTCTGGCAGTCTTGGCCAAAATATTATACAAGATATTCACGATCTTGAACAAGTTCTTTCAATCTACATTTATTGTAACACAATCGAGAGATATATAGACTTAAAACAGACATACACTAAGGTACGCAATATATTCAATGAACCGCATGAACTATTGACACATTTACAAGATGATATAAAAGAATTATCTCGACAAATAACTGTGGAAGAACGAGGTATGTTCAAAATTGTTTTTGTCAGTGAAGTCTCATGTGATTATGTATTCGATTTTCTATGAAATCTAGCTAAACAAGCTGCTATTCCACCCAAACAAAGTCGAGTTACTGAAAGCGACACTATCGAATACTTTAATCAACCTGGAACCCATTGGTGTCCATGGAATGCAAAGAGTTGCTCGAAAGAGCTTTCATTAAAAGGTCAGGGAACAGTAGCCATCATGCAAATAGAGGCCATACCGTTCGAGATTCGTCTTTCGAATAAACTAGACCCGAATGATCCAACAGCATTCTCCATTATCCTCCGAGTTGACGCAAAAGAAACACGATTAAGTACCAATATGCGAGACTATGACTCGAGCACTATACCACATCATGTACTTCAAGAAAAAAACGGTAACTGGCACCAATATTGGATCAGTTATTTCAAAGATACACGCACTGTTAAGTATGGCCTTGGCGAAATCCGTTCACTATTCACAATTTTTCATATAACAATTGATGAAAAAGAAGATGGTGGAATGAAAGACATATGTTATCTTCATGTTAAAGTGGGTAATGATGATGACATGTTGAAAAAACTTGGCGACTCACGAGAAAATTTTCGATTTTTCGTTGGTAAAGAGATTGTTCATGATCCTGCTTTACTTGTCACGCATGATAGTAATCTAAAACTTTTGGATAAGGTCGAATATCGAATAATTGAGTCATCACGCTTGCAGAAGCCTTGTCAAGAGTTGTACAATGCTATTCGCAATTTTGAATTGGACGACGCTGACTTTCCTAATTTTTCCGAAGCTATTGTACGCAGTGTTCAATCGCCAGACGGTTGGTGTCGTAAAAAATTAATTCAGAAAGCAAATCGATTTGGTCGACCAAACTTCTCTGCAACGTATCTTCGTATAACAATCGGCCATCCCGATGGGAAAGCACCAGGTCATGCGTTTGTCGTTGAAGTATGGCCACCTGGTCACTATAGTCCAGTTCACAATCATAGCAATGCTTATGGAATCATCAAAGTACTTAGTGGTCGAATCTTGGTCAAAATCTATCCTGAACTAGCGCTCAATGTTCGACAACATCCACCTATTGAAACTATTCTAGAAAAAGGTCAAGTGACATGGATGCTGCCTCGACTCAATCAGACTCATCAAGTGAGAAATCCAGATATCTATGGCAATTCTAGTGTTACCATTCAGTGTTATCAATATGGTGAAGAAGATGACGAACATTACGAATATTTTGACTATTTGAATAACGATGGACAAGCGATTGGCCATTTTGCTCCGACATCTGACATTGATTTTGTGGAGTTCAAGGAAAAGATGCGAGCTGAATGGAACAAAGCACAAAATCATTGAGTCAATAGAAATAACATTGATCAACTTGGAATGTGATTTGTTTCTTCTCTGTGATTCT